CCCAAAGTATCGTTTTCCGAGAGTTTTCGGCCTTTGTATTCACCGCGATGGTTTGCCAGGCGGTAAAAATACCCGGATGTCCGTTCCCTTAACTATAGCAGTACTCCCGGGATTTATGTTAAACACAGGAACTAAATGTAAATCGAAAATATTGCACTGTGGGTAAACATAACATCTTACAACATAACATCGTAGGTCAAAATTGTATAGACGATAATCAGTGTTTCTCATTGTAACTTCGATAATTATAATATTTGCTGTAAAAATATCTTATTATGAATACAGAACCGGTTCAGCACACCGTCAACTACACACTGTTTCACTAACGCTGAGATACCAATCTAACACTTACTTTAATATGCTCCACCAATGCCAAAGTATCATGTTATTAGTTAAATATGCTATTAGTTATCCACCCACTGTACACTGCTCCGCTAATGCCTAAGTTCAATGTTAGTAATATCTCATTATGTAGACTTGAATCTATTTAGTGTTCTACTCACTACAACCTGCTCCACTTACGTCTAGGTATCTTGCTATTTGCTAAATATGCAGCCAAGAATTTGTTCGGGTTTCCACTCACTCAGGCTATACACTGTTTGCTAATGCCTAGGTACAATGCTAGTAATATCTCTTTATGTAGCCTAGAAACTATTCAGTGTTTTACTCACTATAACTTGCTCCTATTTCGCCTAGGTATCATGCTATTAGTTAAATATGCAGCCTAGAATTTATGCGGTTTTCCACCCATATACACTACTCATTTTATGCCTAGGTTCAATGTTAGTAATATCTCATTATGTAGCCTAGAATATATATTGTTTTCCATTCAGTGTATACACTGCGTCACTAACGCATCATGCTGTGTATCATTCTATCATGATACTTACCCGAGTAGGAAGTAATATTTTTGGCACAGACCGTAACTAGTCACTGGGAACCAAATGCCACAATCTCCGGATATTATGGCTTACTTATCTATCCGGTGTATGTGACAAACAACTGACGCAAGGTGTGCAACTTTTCACAGTTCAATGAACTTTTATTGTCACCCAATACTACACAGACGTTATTATTTACAAATATATAGTTTGAAATATACATATTTATATCTATACATCATAAGTATATATATATATTATGGACACTATGTTACATTTCACTGTAAATTTCATGCATTAATTCACCATGGTTGTTTATTAAATAACTTCAACGTTTTGTATATTGATGGAATAACAAATTTAACTTTGCTGTGGCACAACACTTGGTTGACAAAACTTGATTGAAACGGGCGACTGTCGATGCAACACATCCTTCCTATAAACAGCGCTCCTAGCGACGAAGCGCATGCGTGACATAAAATGACGTAATGAGTGAAAGTTATGTCACAATCAAAACAATACTGATACTGAGATAGACAAATTTCCAGGAAGTAGCGAGAATAGGGTGCAGAAATACTCCTGGTGGAAAATACAAACAGTTGGCTGACAGGTGATAGAAGGGAATTTTATTTTTGTGACGTCGATCGAATAGTCGAATATCTTCTGTGACGTACCCAGTATTATTGTTCACAACGACAATTCAATTTGGCTTCATAATCATTTAAACCCTATCAAAATAGCGGATGAAAAGCAATACAGTGAACAGTCTCTCACCTACGTAATGGCAGGTCTTCGTCGCTAGAGGGCGCAATTTATTAAAATGTGTACTGTTACATTTGCAAGTTTACACAATTACTAGTAATATGTTTCTTAGCAGATTTACTGTCGCACATTTCTATTTTTCATTTTTGATAATAAATAAAATGTAACAAAATAACTGTAAGTTTAACACTTATTGGCAGTCCACCAAATTTTCAGCCCTTTCCATTTCAGCCTTCTAGTCACAATGCATTGTGGGTAGTTTAAACGATAAAAGTCAGGTACCTATAAATTATAATTAATTTTAGGGTTTTACCATTATAGAGTAAACAAAACAAAATAAAGTAAAAGAATGACGATTGTTTTTTGTTATATAATTCACAAATTCGCCAAATTCGAAATTAAGCATTCATTGAAGAATAATTCCCATAGAAACATAATTTGCACTTTTAAAATGTATTATCTTTGACTAGAAAAAATACAAAAGCTCTATAATAATATATCTGTATTTGGAATGCTATAGTGTGGTTATATTCATTTCAATTATTGCTAATCTGTCATAATTGCTCAGCTCCATAGAGGATTGGATATGATAAAGGTGAACATGATTTTTGTATAAATATTTGAACAATTACGTCATAATTTGTAATAATACAATGCTAAACAACCACACTATTACGACATCAGTCCCCAACTAGATATAACGGATGAACACACAATGATTCGAAAAACCATAATCCGTATTTAGGACATACAACTACTCTGTAGAATTCGCATAGCAGAACTGAACGTATGGTTACAATAAAATACGGTCCTCTGCACTTCTATGTCATGCAGCTAAATTAATAGCTCACAGTTTGCTTATTTATTTTCTATAGTTCAATATTTCAGGCAGGTGTCCATTATTTAGTTACGTCATACTTACCCGAAGCTATAACTTTCTGCCACATCTGGTGACAACGCTCTACTCACCAGTGTCATGCACATTCTAAATCATGTAGATCCACTTACAAAAATACATTGAACACATTCATTGCGGGTGATATAATTAGTATCAAAAGTCTAACAGCTGATGCCAACATCATCATCGGATAATTAAACATTATCATCGCTTTCTTCAGCTGGAGAATCCTCTTCTTCTACTTCTTCTTCTTCTTCAGGTTCTTCCTGTGTCACAGCCGCCGGGGAAGTATCCTCAGCAAAAGGGTTGTCCTGCTTCTCGTCAGCTGCAGGGTCTTCCTGAAGCTCCGAGTCTGTTTGCTTCAGCATCATTTTGGCTTCTTCCATTGGCGGGGGAGCTTCCTCGGTGTCCAACATGGCATGGCCAAAATCATTGTCAGGGGGTGATGTATAGAGTGTCGGTTGAGTGTCGCCGATCAGTGTTTCCCCTTCGATTTCTGAGTAATCACCCACAAATGTTGGTCCTTCTGGGTACATCTGGAGACAGATTAAAACGGTTGCCACTTACAGTAACAAGTATAGAAGAAATCAGAAGAAAATGTTGTTGTTGGCGGTAACCTTCAGGTTCCTTTTATCCAATCAAACCAGACAACATAAGACTCTTAGTTTTATCTCTTTCCCTCTCATCCCAAGAGTCACAAGAGGGCGTTGTATCAGGTGTACCCGATAGGAGAACTTGATATACATGCTGATAGTCACACATAGACACGTGTACGTAGGTACGACGTTTAAGATTATTAAAATCAGAAAAAAGCGTATACATTTTTCAAGATGATAAGATATAAATGCGAAAAAGTGTTTTTTTTAGGGCAAAGAATTTGACTTCTTGTTTTTGATGTTTTAAAACCTTTAAAGTCAAATTTAAAATTTGCAAAAATCTGTGAGAGACCATTTCCTAACATATAATGAATAGATTATACACCATTAGTTCAATATCATGTTGGTGATTTAGAGGAAATCATTGATAGTCTTTAGCGAGGAAAAGCTTATTAATTATTTTTTTAAAAGTATTTATGATTATAAATATCATTTACCAGTGAAAAAAAAATATCCCCAAAAAGCTCACCCAGTGCGTGTGATTTTTTAAATGTATGTGAACTACATGTGTTATCGCCCAATTGCCCGGTTTCCATCTCTTCACATGTGGAACAATAGATATACATGTGTATGCACCCATTTTGTGACTTTGTGAAATTGTGCCTGCATGTATAAGATATGTTTTTTAATGTTTCAATTGAAACTTTTCCGCCAAGTTGGGATAAATGATTTATGCACATTGAAGGATGATCATCGAGGACAATATATTTTGTTTATATAATTTATATTTATGATCGGTACAAACAATGCTAAAAAAACATTGGTAGCATGTGCCACCCCAGATGATACAGATTCGCTATAAATTATAACTGTGTACACAGGCGTAAAGTAAAAACATATGTTTATGTTTTTATTTTATATTATACTTGTATTTGAAACTATTATGACACGCAAATATGCTTACGAGTGGGATAGCAGTGAAAATCACGTTGGTTGAAATGATGGACTATACGCAACAATAGTACACACAAACAAAAAATGTTTAAAGGGCGGCAGTCGTCGTGCCACGTCCTGATCGATATGAGACTTATAGCGACGTACACAACGCGTGTAAAAAACATTGTTTGTTTGCATCAAATTCGAACACACGCTGTGCGACGACCACCGCGCTTTAATGTACATGACGTCATATTTGTATACAACACATGTATTGGTAAATGGAGTTCAACAAACTATTATAGCTTAGTTTGTGAAATCCGATCGGGGTGAAAGGTTAGCAATCATTTAAATACGCGAATCAAACAGCGAAATATACAACTTGTTCACTCATATGAGGGGAAGTCAAACGAACCTGTTCATCAAAGTTGATGACCTAACATACAATCAACACACAGTAGAAGACCGTAATATCAAATTTACTTTTCTCTGAATTCATATCCTATTCTTGCAAGCACATATTTGTAAACTATTAAAACATGATTATACTGTTTATTTTTTCTGTAACCTGTACTAGCTACCCACTTTTTCACCTCTTTTTGATTTAATAACATTGTTTCCCAATAAAGAATAAAAAACAAGGCACTTCAATGTTCACACTGGCTAGCACAACATTGTAAAAGGTGTGGTTAAACAGAGACACAAAAACACTTACCCGTTGAATAAATGCAAACAAGGCCAAAATCAAGGCACTCAGTATGCAGAAAACCCAGAATGTATATTTGGCACCAAGGTCATCTATCATAGCGCCGCCAACAAAGTTGCCAACACCGTTACCAAGGCCCCAGTACATAGCATGCAGAAGACCCAAGACTGTTGCATAGTTGTCGGAGGACACTCCTTTGGCCATATATGTCGTCATTGAAGCCCACACTGCGGCATAAGATACACCTGCAAGAAGATTCCAAACAATTTTATGACGAGATGCGATCACAGCATGACTGATAATGGGTTACTCTGCAAGTGTGTAAATAATCATTTTTTTTTCTCACAATGGTATTTTTTTCAAAAAAATGAATATAACCTGATAGGAAATATGAATAATGTGGAATCCAGAGGGTGTGGGCGAGCTTTGAACCGACCGATTTACATCGCCTGTATCATTTCAGATATGCCTGAGCCAAATGACACCGAAAATGAAATTGCAAGTGAGAAGTCTGGCACTACATGTGACAGGTCTATGTGACCCAGCCCAGTAGAAGACAAACATATGTAGACCTTAGCCACGGTCTCGTGTGTTGAAGAAATGTTTCAACTTGCATGCACCATGTACTTGGTAACGGCATAGTACCCAGTAAACGCCCTCATTACCATCAGTTGTAACATTCAAATGCAACACGCAGACTTTAAATGCAAATCGTTGTCTGTTGATCTTGTTGAGAACCAAGAAACTTGTTTTCCCAGTCTAACTTTTTGTTTCATTTTCTACCGCTATAATATCCACTGTTCTAATCACCATGGCAATATACATCAGGCAAACATGATGATAATGCTAGAGAATAAAGCATAATTTTGAGGGGTAAATATAAGTCGTGTAACTTTCTCGCTCTCAGCGAGATCTGGCCGCCATTTTGCACATAATGTCGATTATCAAAGACATTTCCTGACTGCCTGGTCAGTTACATGCATTAATAGCATGTTATTAAACACAAAGGCGATTCAGACAACTCACCTTGTAAAATTTCAGCTGGTATCAATCCCCATGGGTTCGTGATTAGAGCGTACATCAGAAACCGGACAACATAACACCCTAATCCAAAATACATCACCCAAATATAGCCCAACATCTTTATCATGGTGTGCGCCAGGAAGAACATTAATACTTCCGAACCATACAAAATAAATGTGGCTACACCAAGTAGAGTGTCATCAGCACCTATAATGGAGGCATTATATTATTATTTTTTTTGAGACAGCCAATGTTATTGGTCAAAACCTGTCACATGATCGTTTGATGAACATTGATATTGGCATGTCCCAGCATGTTTCTTGCCTCATCACCAGGACACTTAGATTGTTGAAGATGTGTGACACAATGCACTTCCCCTGCAGGAGGTTAATTTTGGTTTTAATGTGCAAATTCACCCAATATTCATTGCACGCTTTTTTGAATAACAAAATGACCATGTTTTCCGGCAACAGTAAGAACTATTGTTTCCATAGTGGGTTTTAGTGGCCTCAGTCTTTGGCTTCAGGCGTTAACACATGATGGTGATAGTTCTTGATATCTGTCTCTGGCTGGCAGATAACAATATTCTTACTTATATGTAAAGCTGAATATTTGTGATGAATTTGGGAAGATGAAAAAGTACGACAAATGAGGTGAAGCCAAATTACCATTTTATCTTTCATAAAATGTTTACATTATAATTAATTATACGTCTCCAGCGAATCCTCAAATGCAATGCGAAATTAATTCAAGTTTTTGTGCTAGCAACATACAAAGTGGCCGACCGATATAGTGGTGTTTTTCAGTTGTTCGACATGTTTACATGTTCACAAATTAAGCTCCAACGGTGAAAACGACATTTTATTTAGATCTGTCATAACTCCTTTACAAATGCAGAAGATGATATGAAACCGTTCACAGATTGAAGAATTAATATTCAAAATTATTGACCGCCAAACGCGCAAATATGATTGGCATTCTAAAGTACATTATAAATTGGTGCAACTGTAAGGTCAAGAGAATATTGAATAAGACTATTGAAATTACAGGCATATATACTAATATATAAACATGAGAAACAAGATTGGAACTCGCAACTCTGCACATGCGCCTCGTCACTATAAGCTGACACGGGTTATGCAACGACACATAGCATGTTGTGAAATAGCGTGTAGCGAATATGCACTTACAATGAATAGTTAGACATGCGCAAATCGAATCCCTGACGTCGAAAGAAACATGCTGGATATGAATATTATAACCTACCTAAGTCTCTCATATGTCCAAAGAAAAATCCGTGAATAAGACCATTACATGTACCGAAGTAAAACGCTATAGCCAATATGGACCCGTAATGAGCGGATGTCAGCATCTTAAAGAGGCCTTTGGGGTTATAAGTTGAAGTCTTTTTGTCATCCTGGAATAGTAAGAAGTTTAGAAGTTTAGGAAAACATTGACTAGCATTCATAGTGTGATCAACAGATAGAGGACGCAAATTGCCGCCAAGAGCTGGATTATCACTAGCGGGTGCAAAATGTAGTACTTGAGAAAAAACATCTGATAAAATATTATAAATAACTAGTACATTTGAAATATATAAACATTCTAAACATCATATTCACACCCATAGCCACGGCAAAGCACATTACTATTGTGAGCAGACGTGTACCTCACTAAGCCAAATCGGAGCTTCAAATGAAGTGTAATGTGTGCGGATTTACAGTGACCTGGTGGACGTACAGAAGCCAAATCTCACCAACAACATGCAGTATGTATTTTTTACACATATAAACAAGGGACGGACTGGGACCAAAAAACAGCCCTGGACTTTCCCGCCAATAAGCCTACCAAACAAAAACCGGGGAGCAGTCATTCTGAATGTTAGCTATTAACGTTCCTCTATAACAATTAGTGCGGAGGCCGAAGGTCGTAAACTGGACGGCCGTTATGAACTTTTCCAGAACGCACAGAATATCAGTCCGCGCCTGTATGTAAAGTATATAAGATTATCAAAGAAAAATTTGGATCAATAATGTTGATACTTATTCACTGCCACTAACGGGTCACATATTCTATTCTCCATTCACAACCATTCAACAACTTATTAACAATTGGATTTATCGAGTCTATTCACAGATGCTTACTAGGGCAAGGGTGTGTATGTATGTACCAGCCAATAACACATTTAATACGTATGCATATACTAGTTTTCGGGCCGGGGTAGCACACTTGATCTGACATCCAATATATAGAAGACCCATCAGATACACCATTGATAAGGCTAAGTCCTCGAAACACCACACTCTTACTAGCAACACGTAAGCACATTACACACTGAGTAAATGAATTTAATGCAGATATGCTTACTCACCCCATAGTCGAATTTGAAGTAGACGATAAGTATTGTCATTATCATCCATCCATCAAAAATAAAGAATAGAATCTTATAATGAAAGAAATCGAGGGTGATATCACATCTGTACATGACCAGATGAGATAGTTTCAAAATGGCGACCGCTGGAAAACATCTAGAGAAAGATAAGATAGAACATACTTGTTAGTTACAATTGTTGATGCGCTAATCTTCAAAACGAATTTGCTAATACATTTTTTCAAACTTCAATTCAATTTCATCTTGAAAACGATTGGACCCATACTTACGACAGGATATGAGCGATAGCAGCACACGCCCTCTGGTGACCATAGTAGGTAAGATCGTCCTTCCCAAGAGAATACAGAGTCGCAGTGTCGGCAAGACTTCCGGTTGGTGACGTCAGCATTTCTCCAATTATAAACAAAGCCATATACCCTGCGAACAAGCTACTAAGACTGCTTGCGGTATACAACCAACTCCTGTCTTGGAGTTTTTCTCCTTCCATATCGTCCACCAGGATGTCAATATTAGATTCATTGTTGAATTCTACCTGAATGTACTCGTCCGATTGTCGTATGTATCGAGCGAAAGGATCCAAAGAACGCTTCCTGCCGCCCACGCCACCTCCTCCACCCAAGAGGCCCTGGAAGTGGGAGCGCGTGGTGTTAGAAGAGTTTCCAAAATGTTCCTGAATCGCTCTACATGGTTTCTCCGTAGGGGGCGGTATCATGCCCATTGTAGACATCATAAGTATAAGCGACACCAGAGCGACCATAAGAACAATTTTGCCGTCTTTGATAACGGTCCGCAAGGATATTGATTAGCGGTATCATGACGAATCCGATGAATGGGCGAACTCCGGTCATGATACGAATTCGCTCATCGGTCATACCACGCTGCTTGAAATACCCATTCAGAAAGGGAGCAACTGATCCAAAGGCGTACCCGAAACAAAAGAAGTACGCCTTCTGTGGCAACAGACTTACGTCAACACTGGATAGCAGGCCCCAATTACGGGTGGACGTTTCCGGTTTTTTTGTCAGCGTATTTTTCTTCCCTTCCATGGAAACAACGGGCGAGAGTTCAGTTGCCGTTTCTGCCATGTCGGGATCTGAAAATAAGTGATAAATTTGTTATAACAATGCACCATTTTTTGGGCTTGCTGTGTCAGGTGGTGTGTTTGTCTTAGTACGTCATCAATATCTACCATTTGTTCATCCTTGTTGGTAACTACGAGGATGAGACTAAGTTCTTGCCGGTTAAAGGGCGGTAGTCGTCGTGCCGCGTCCTGTTCGATATGGGACTCATAGCAACGTATAAAACGCGTGCAAATTATATTGTTTGTTTGTTTGTTTACATGAAATTCGAACACGCGCTGCGCGACGACCACCGCGCTTTAACGTTCGACCTTTACGTAAATCCCTGGAAAAGTGCTGTCGCCTGTAACAAATTCGGGTAGGAACGTGTTCTGCCTTAGGGACTCCTAACATTTGATCTATGTGTGTTCATTTGATCTCAGACAACCAATCCAATATTTGGTTGTCAGAGATTTGATACAACAACAGCAGTTTTGACTGTATTACTTTGATTAAAATATATGAACTATTGAAAAAAAATACAGTTCGTGTCCCTCTGACACAGATATTAAATAATTCAAATGAGATAATTTTCACGTCATCAATGCAATTTTGTATTTTTGTTTTTGTTTTGCTTTTGTTTCAAGATACTAAACTTGGTTCACAATACCATTGCAAATTAGACGGACAACTACAGGTAAACGCCTCGGGTAGGGGTGACTCAATCAAGCCGTTGAAACAAAATAATACGACAGGCGGAATTGGATGTCTAGCGAAACAGTAAAAAGAGTTCGGTGGCTACAACGTTAACCAACCAATCAACAAGCTGTAGTCGAATCACGTGCTCCATACTAACCAATGGGATGATGTGTTTCTCTGAAACGCGATGTGTGAGGGCTCACTCTATTCACGTCAGCTGTGACACTAATATCTGTTCGTTTTGTTTATTGATAAAGACTGGTGACCTGTTGACCTGGATTTTATTTTTACAGTGAATTTCATTAACATATTAATATAGTTATGGGTTGGGGTCTCCAAAAAACGACGTACTGCCTTGTAGATGATAATCAGATTCGTTTGTATATGATGACGTCATCGCAACCAACGGACGACACCAGCGTGTGGGTTGGGGGTATGTTCACAGACATGGGTCATCCCACTGACATTATCTCGTCCATATAAAAAATAAAAAAGAATATTAATTTAGCGTTGAGAAGTTGGGGGAAATCCATTCCATTCACACGTCACTTTGTTGGAATGCTCGGAAGGTACGAGCCACGTCTACCAAAGATTCAAACACCCGCCATTTAAAAGGGGAGATGCCAATTTCTGGAACAGCAATGTGACCGCATAAGTTATACATTTTCTCCGTCGTTTGCTTCCCACTCTACTCATAATCTGAAAAATATATATTTGCCGCGATATTGGAGTTAAAACAATAATG